GACAAAGATGGCGGCCGAACTTGAGGAAATGGCGCCTCCATTTTCACTTCATTCTATGGACGATACTGGTTCCTCTGGTAAAAATACGATAGAATTGGGGACTGAAGAAGAAGAAGAAAAAGGGCAGGACCACAAAGGGGTTTTCGTTTTAAGAGAAAAAAGTGGTGTTATTTACCCGGTTGACTACAAATATAGAATTGGTGAGTTTTAATTCAATATTCACGTGTACTTTTGCTCAACAAACGCATGACTGGCGATTCAGACAACGCAATTGAGATTTAGATTGTCTGATCACAAAGCAACCGTTATACTGTAAAAGCCTTTTTTTACATATATCTGAGCACTCAACATGAAGTGTATCGGGCGTGGAAGCTTTACCTCCAAACAGTAAAATGTTGCAACAACTATAGCTTACAATAAGCTTATCACGCCACATCAAGCGCTTACCAAAAATATCCGGCCGAACAAACAGCAAACTTTTAATTTTTTGTAGCCAAGCGTTATTAGTTCTAATAAATTGTCGTCTGGGGTCTCGCATCCCTGTAATGTTCTTGTTGTGGTTGTTGCTTACATAAGCTAAGGAAACTTCTGCTATTTTTCGGTCATCCACTTAAATCTCCTTCTTTGCCTAATGTCAGTGGCATTACATAATCTTTTAATGGGTCAATCAGAATGAAATTTGGGGGAGTAGGAGGCTGTACTTGGGAGGGATGCCATGCCAATATTGTTACAGGGCTGAATGGGGATTTTAGCATTTAGCTCTTTAACACTCGAAATGTCAGCGTAATAGAAACTCTTTATTGTGGCCAAGTTACATAATCAACTGAGTCGTTAAAACCAGATCATCTTGTATTATCCCCACTGATGCAGCACCACAGTTTCTTTATTCAGTACATGTACATTTTTTCAGTTTAGTATAGATAGAGAGGTGATTTTTGAGTTTCGAATGAAAAAGATAATGGTATTTAGATATGACAGATGTTATAGATATACGTGTACTTTAGAAATGGCAATTATGATGCTTGCAACATTCTCTGAATTCCCAGCGGTATGCAGGATGCCAGTCAGATGAACAATCTGATATTGGCCTGGCTTACTGTTTCTGGAGTGTCTGTGGCTTTGTGGTACAGCTCCAAGAGGGGAATCTGAAGGTCTGAAGCACGATTCCTCCTAGTGAATCAGAATTTTGTCTTTATCCTATGCTCATGGCATGATTAAAAACATCTTTCCCCAACAACATTCATCTTTTTGACAGTCAACTGTTAAAACCAATTCTTGTTAAAAAAGGTAGAAAATTACAACTTTGATCATGGCACATCTTTGGACTGTGATGGTGTTGTGAAACTTCCATCACATTTTTTTCGGAAGGAGGTGAAGCGAGGACTAATGTTTTAGTTATCAGAGAACTGCTTCTATTTGGCACTCCTTTATAAGGACCAAATCACGAAGAGTGTCATTTGCTGAGTTTTTGGGTACTTCAGGTACTTGTGATGATAGAGACTTGTTTTCATTGATAAGAAATACTTTTAGTTAATCTGTATTTGATACTCCAATTTTTAACTTAATTATACCACTAATTTTACCATTTATGATATTAGGGCTATGAAACCAGCCAAATGTGCCACAGTATTACACTGTAAAACAGGGAAAAAATATGAACAGAAAGAGGGGCCAAAAAGTCATCTGGCTGAATGATCCAAACTTTGATAGTTTGCTTTGGTTTTTCAAGCTCGACTTATTTAAAAACAATTACCTTTAAGCCCAACAGATTTTTTTTGTAGGTCACAAACAACATTTAAGGTCAAAAACAACACTTATTATCATTAGTTTTTTTGCTTTGGTTTCATCTTCCTTGCACCCCCTCCGCAATCTAGAAGATGCTGAGATAATGCTTTCGGAATTATTTATCAAACTAATAATTAAAATACTAGAAAATGAAATAGCAGTAGAATAAAATATCCCTTGTTCTAAGGGTTAGTATGTACTACAGGTGGACATTTTGTTTCGTGGCTGAATTTTTCCTTATTCCCCTGAAAAATGCTACACAACTTGCAAAATAACAGCATTTTTGCTTGCATGCAATTGGGCTTAAACACATCACGTGATTGATTATTCCAGAGTTCACACTGGGGGATATTCAAGAATGTCACCTGAGTGATATTCCCCAATTTTCAAACCTTAAATCTAGTACAATAACTTTTTTTAAATTAATTCAAGATGAGAGAATGTTTAATGGTTGTTATAGAAGAAGGGAAATATTTTTTTGTTCATAAAGAACATTCAAAGGAAAACATTTCATGCAGCATAGAACAGGTCATGTCTGCAAACCAATTTAGTGTATATTTGCATGCCAAATAGAGGTTATTGTTTATGTATTACGGGACTGTGTATTTTTTTATACTATCATAGGTATTTTCAGATAAGAGATGAAAAAAAATTTTTGATTAAGTCAACACCTTTCAGTTAAAAAATTGGGTTAGTCAGATGACAATTAAAGGGAAGTAGGGAAGGGATAACTTTAACCAAATAAAAATTCACAAATTAATTCTTAGATTTGTACCCATATGTCAAAGTAGAAACCCCTTGTACTGTTAGTTGGAAAATATAGGGCTGGCTATTGAAAGAGGTCTAACACAAACCACGCTTCTATACAAGGAGTAGGTGTTAGGGATTCTGTATCCTTCCACAGGTAGCTTTTGATAATAACTATCATTTTAGATAAAAGGTTCAGCTAAATTGAAGATAGTGTGGAATGTTTAAAGGCTAAACTTTGTTTGTGGACATTGATGAATATTTCTTGGAACCCTTAAAACCAGTTTCACCTCTGTGCATGCTGAAAAATATTTTGTGAAAATTTTTTTGTTTTATTATTTTGACCATACCTTTGATACAGCTTCAACTGTTGACTTCCACAATCTGAATTGTGATTCTCTCTTCTTGCCACCTTAGGTTCTCTCGTGAAATTTTAATGTAACAAGTTTAAAGAATTTGAATGCTGTTATACAAACTTAAGTGTCATTTTCTGGCTGTCCAAGTCTATTTAAACTTCTTCATAATGTTTTTAACATAAAGTTTTCATTCAAAGTACTACAAAGAGTAATACAACTTACCATATGTAACTTATTTATATGTCAATACAGCTATGCTGACCTTTCTACATTTTGTAAGTTGTGAGCTGTCTTTTAAACACTGTAACATTTCAGTCCTTTTTACAAAATCCAGCTGATGATATCCACGCAAATTCTGAAATCTCTTGGAATATTTAATTATTGAAGATAAATATTGGTCAACTTCATGCATCATCACCTTTCTGTGGGATGTTTCTTGAATGGCTTTGTTCATTATCCTGGTTATTGTCAAAGGTATTTGAGCATAACTAACCAGTCTAAGAATTCTTTCCAATAGGTGCCTCTCAGATAATAAATAGTTTTAACTTGCTTTTTGGTGCTTAGTGAAACTCATAACACTTTGTTAATCTTTAGGATTTAGGGGTTTTGTTGCCATGGAATTTTTTGGGGTACTGATAGAATTTATGATTGTATATGCAACAACAAACTTCAAATTGAAAACCACAAGGAGGAATATTGATGAATCAAAATATTAGGATTTGCATGATAATAGTAATCTTTAAAACTTGTTGCAACAGGCAGCCTGCTACACAATTGTATTTTCTGTAGAACAAGTAAAAATTTCCATCTGAAGAACTCAGGAATTGGTAATGGAGACTCTCAATGAAGATGTTGTTTACAAGAATCCAGGTTTTGTTATAAATACATCTTAAGGCTGTAATTGTCATTTAGATATTCAAAGAATGCCTGTTTGAACTTTTGAGAAATATTCATCACAAACTTACTAACTTGTGGGTTATTTCAATTATTTTATGCACATTTTCATAAAATGCACAAAAATCAAGTGGTTCTCACTAGAAGGGATTAATTTTTGTGTAACTGGAGTTGGCATTTTATCAATTCAAGTCAAATGCTAGCTTCAGGAATGGTTAGAGTCTACAATTACCATAAATGAATGTGGAACAACTGGTTTGTTATTCCACTAAGTGAGAGAAAGAAGCTGTCTTGGAAAATAAAATCCCAGGAGTTCCTTGTGCAGTCATATGATGAAAAGTCGAGAAGCAACATTTATGTTCACATTTTTGCTATATGCTGTAGGTTAAAGAAGAATTCAGGTTGAAAAGATTTACATCCAGGTTGACTAATGTAGTTTCATATTTTTCCTTGTTAAAGAGTCTTAAGTAATTATCTGACACAATGGAAAATGCAAATGAAACCAGTATTCTACACTGTAGATGTATGGTCACAAAATACCCTCGTAGTAAATGGCAAAAATAGATAAAGTTAATACTGTGATGACAACTGTGAGTTGTTATTACATATAGATGAAAAGTAACTTTTAGTAAGCATAATGCAGATATAAGATAAGTTGGTTTTACACCTGAGCTGATAGTATAAAGTGGTCACTTTTTCTAAAACTGACTTTGTGAGTGTCAGCCCTACACTGGAGGGAATAGGAGAGTCGGCTTTAGAAAGTCTTTATGGTGTCCAACTTACACACGGTAAGATGTAGGTGTATGGTACATTTCCATTTTTAAAAAAGCAATACCAGACATATTAAAAATTTAGTGCTTATTTGACCTGACATTTTACCATTTTCTTTTTTAATTTTTAGATACTTGCTATCCTGGATATAATCCACGTTTTGTCAATGCACCAACTGTTATCACGTTGGTTGGTTTACCAGCAAGGGGCAAAACATATATGGCCAAAAAACTGGGCCGTTATCTCAACTGGATAGGCATCAAAACAAAAGGCAAGGTTTCTTGAGTACATAATTAAAAGTGCATGACTTTTTTGTTAGTGCATGTTTAAGGGGATCAAGTCCCTGTATGGTCTTCTCTGCTTTTTTTGTTTTTTCAG